CAATAGAAGATTCTTGAGATACAACAGACCCCTCTTTTCAGGTTGGCAAAACAGTAGTGTGTCATCAACAAAAAACAAGTGTGAGATCTCCATTTTGTTGTCCCTTCTGCCAACAGTCATCTCTCTAATCAACCCAAGATCATGAGCTCTATACATCAGTCCATTTAAAGCCTCCATGATTACAATGAACAATAATGGGGAAAGTGGATCCCCTTGCCTTAGGTCTCTAGACCCCGAAAAGAAGTTGGAAGACCCTCGATTAACTAAGATCGCAAAAGATGTGGTAGATAAACTCGCTTTCATCCATATTATCCATTTATGCCCAAAACCCAACCTTCCCAACATGTAGTCGACAAAATCCCAGCAGACATGATCATATACCTTTTCCATATCCAATTTGCAAATCAGGCCATCAATATTATACATGACTAGCTCATCCACCACTTCATTTGCCACAAGTATTGCATCTTGAATTTGTCTCCCTTCCACGAACGCATGTTGGCATTCATTAATTACCTCACCCAAAACACCTGCAAGCTTGGCTGCAAGGATTTTTGCAATAATTTTATAAATACACCCCACTGAGCTTATAGGTCGAAAATCGTTGACATGCTTCGCCCCCTTCTTTTTGGCAATCAACACCAAGAAAGTGGCATTAAGGGACGACCAGTTATAAGGTGGCTTGCAAACTGAAGTTATTGAAAAACATTATCAAGGAATGGACGAAAGAGGTGATCTCAAAAGAAGGTGCAGAGGCGAATATGTTATTGTTTGACCTGGAGGAGTTGGACCACAAGGAGGGAACGAAGGGTCTGCAGTTAGATGAGATCAACCGCAGGGATGAAATAAAATTATTGTTCGCCCGAAAAGCAAAAATGGAGGAACTTGCATGGAAGCAGAAGTCTAGGGAAAAGTGGCTGAAAGAAGGGGACAAAAATACTAAATATTTTCATACCTTGGCAAGTCAACATAGAAGATGCAATTTTGTGGAGGAGATGTGGGTGGATGGAGTCAAACATAAAGGTAATGAAAACATACGAGAGGCTGCCAGGGAGTATTTTATGAAACTATACGAAGAAGAATTTGCTGTAAGATCTCAATTAGATGCTTTGAGTTTCAAGAAAATAGGGAAAAACAGTAGGAAGATGTTAGAAGCTAAGTTCTCTGAGGATGAGGTAATCTCTGCACTTGTGTCTTGTGATGGGGATAAGGCCTCGGGGGCCGGACGGGATCCAACAGGAATTTCATTAAAACCTTCTGGTATGTTATTAAAAAGGATGTTATGGACGTCTTTCATGAGTTTCACTCCAGGGGTAAATTCTTTATAGCTCTAAATTCTAATTTTTTGGTATTGATTGCGAAGAAGAGAGGGGCGGATAATATTAGAGATTTTAGGCCTATCAGTTTGGTGGGCTACATCTATAAACTCATTGCAAAGGTGTTAGCGATTAGACTATCCAAAGTTTTGGAGGAAGTCATTGGGGAGTGTCAACATGCTTTTGTTACAGGTAGGAAAATTCAAGATGCTGTTTTGGTCGCTAATGAGATTGTTGATTATCTGGTCATGAATAGCAGAGATGGTTTAATCTGTAAGCTGGACATGGAGAGGACGTATGACCACGTTTGCTGGAACTTTGTGGATTATTTGTTGAGTAGAATGAGTTTTGGGGATAAATGAGGGGTTGAATGAAGACTTGTATGAGGATCACATCATTTGCTATTTTGGTTAACAGTGGGCTTTCAAGTTTCTTCACGGGTTCTTTGGGGCTGAGGAAAGGAGATCCACTGTCACCATTATTATCCATCATTGTCAATGGAAGTGTTGAATGGTATGATTAAATGAGCAAAACAGTGTCAGTTTCTCAAGGGTGTGGAGATGGGCAGGGGTCAGGAGGAGATGAAAATTTCTCATTTATTTTTCGCGGATGACACCTTACTGCTTTGTAAACCCGATAAGCAATTTTTTCTCCACTTGAAGCTTATCATTCTCTGTTTTCAAGGTGTTTCAGGACTAAACATCGATCTTGACAAAAACGAACTTGTCAAATTGGGGGGGAAGGGTGATGGTTGCGGTCTTGCTAAGGTGTTAGGCTGTAAGGCGACAAATCTTCCCATTAAATATCTTGGGGTTCCTCTTGGCGCTAAATACAAGGAGAAGAAAACTTGAGAACCGATAATTGACATGTTTGAGTCTAGACTTGCAGGATGGAAAAGAAATTTCTTGTCTAAAGGGAATAGACTCATGCTTATAAAGAGCACATTCGCAAATCTATCAGTCTATTATCTCTCAACGTTGACCATTCCGATAAGTCTCGCTAAAAGATTGGAGACCATTCAATGTCGTTTCCTATGGGGTGATAGTGAGGATAGAAAAAAGTTTCATCTTGTCAAATGGGATGATGTAAAGAAACTCATGATGGTGGCTTGGACATTCGATCGGTGGTTGAATTTAATAAAGCCTTACAAGACAAGTGGTTGTGGAGATTTTTGAGAGAGGAGGGTAGGATGTGGGAGGAA